ATCTAATTTCCAGAAATTAGAAAATTTGAGGAGGGCTGTGAGGAAAAATATTAGCACATTAGGGGAAAAAACTAAGAATAAGTAAGCTTCTATAACAAAATACCGCACTACATTCAATGTTGAAAGCTAATCCCTAATAGGATGAGATTTGTGTGTGAGGCCTATGGGAAGTAATAAGGTCATGAGGAGGGACCCCTCATAAATGAGATTAGTGCCCTGGTAAAAGAGGGCAGAACTGCTTCTTCTGCAATGTGAAATGTCAGCATTAAAGTGGCCATCTATCAACAAAGAAGTCCGCCTGTGGGCATTGAATCTGCAGGTGATATGATCATGGACTTTGCAGTCTCCAGAACTGTAAGAAATAAATTTCTCTTGGCACCAAGTCAATGGTATTTTTTGTTATAGCAGTCTAAATGGACTCTGACAAGTAAAAGCATTCTAAATGGAAGAAACAGCTTGAGCCAAAGCATGAAGATGGGAAAATATGGGCTGTGTGCAAGAGGTAGCCAATGAGAGGAGGTGAAGAGGAAGGAGGGTCAGGAGATGAGAATAACCCTACTGCTGGCTAGGGACTCCTAGTACACTTCCTGTGGACTCTATCTATGCAGGGAGGGAGGGGTATTAAAGGAATCTTAGCAGAACCGTGAGGAGATGAGTACATTCAAAACTTTCCTCTGCAGAAATGCATAGATCTGCTGGGCGCCAGTGGCTCCTGCCTGTAATCCTAGCTACTCAGGAGGCTGAGGTCTGAGGATCATGGTTCAAAGCCAGCCTGGGCAGGAAAATCTGTGAGACTCTGACCTCCGATAAACCATAGAAACCCAGAAGTGGCGCTGTGGCTCAAGTGGTAGAACTCCAACCTTGAGCTGAAGAGCTGAGGGACAGCGCCCAGGCCCAGAGTTCAAGCCCCACAACTGACAAAAATAAATAAATAAATGCATAGAACTCTGTGATACACCTTAGCTGCCATTCATAGTTCAGCTTGATTGTCCCTTCAAGGGAAGTTTTCTCAGAATCTCTGATTTGGTAAAAACAACAACAACAACAACAACTTCTTATTCCACACCCCAAGGGCACCCTGTAATTCTCCTGTGTACATGTCATTATTTGTCTATAATAATTTTTTTGTGTGTGTGTGTCCAGTCGTGGGGCCTGAACTCTGGGCCTGAGTGCTGTCCCTCAGCTCTTCAGCTCAAGGCTAGCACTCTACTACTTGAGACACAGCGCCACTTCTGGCATTTTTCTTTTTGCTTATGTGGTGCTGAAGAATCGAACCCAGGGCCTCAGGCATGCAAGGCAAGCGCTCTACCACTGAGCCAACTTCCCAGCCCTATAATCATTTTCTTATTGCCTATCACATTTTTTGGGGGGAGGGGGGGCTCCAGTTATGGGGCCTGAACTCTGGGCCTGAGTGCTGTCCCTCAGCTCTTCAGCTCAAGACTAGCGCTCTACCACTTGAGCCACCGCACCACTTCCGGCTTTTTTTCTTTTTGCTTATGTGGTGCTGAGGAATCGAACCCTGAGGAATCGAACCCAGGGACTCAGGCCTGCAAGGCAAGCGCTCTACCACTGAGCCACCTTCTCAGCTCACTTGCCTATCACATTTGAAGGGTAGGAACTCTGTGGATTTGTATGCCCCTCTCCAAATTCTAAGTACTTAATAAACACTTGTTCACTTCTAGACATTATGAACAGTAATAAGATTCTGCATAGCCGGGTGCTGGTGCCTCACGCCTGTAATCCTAGCTACTCAGGAGGCTGAGATCTGAGGATCGCGGTTCAAAGCCAGCCCGGGCAGGAAAGACCGTGAGACTCCTATCTCCAATAAACCACCAGAAAACCGGAAGTGGCACTGTAGCTCAAGTGGTAGAGCGCTCGCCTTGAGCTGAAGAGCTGAGGGACAGCGCCCAGGCCCAGAGTTCAAGCCCCACGACCGACAAAAAAAAAAAAGTAAGATTCTGCAGTTAGGATGCTGACAATGGAGATGACCAGGTAGGTATGGGGAAAATATATCCACGTGTGACCACCCCCTCTGCCAAACTGAACATTCTGGAACAGAGGTCACCAAACTATAGACACATCCAAGTCAGGCCAGCTGAATGGTTTCATAAATGCAGTTTTATTGGAAGCTACACACACACATTCCTTTCGATGTAGTTTAAAGCTGCTCTGACTGTACAATGCCAAAGTTGAGTCATTGCAATGGGAAGAGAAAAAAGAGGGCCTGCAAAGTCCAACATATGTCCCACCTGGCCAGATCCCAGAGCAGCTTGGCAGCCCCGCTCTGGAAGAAAGACAAGAGAGAGGCTCACAACACCCAGCGCAGTGGTTAGCTCTGTGTGGCAGGATTACAAATGAGCTTCATCTTTTTTCTTAATTTTCTGTATGCCTCATATTTCTCTACAAAGAACATGTATTGCTTTTGTACTCAGTAAAACAATAAAGGTTATTAAAAACCAGATGGAGTGCCCTACTAATTGCTACTAGAGTGAATTGCTAAGGATTTTGGACTTCTTTAAAGAAAAAAAACAATTGTTCAAGCTCATTTCCTTGTTGACTTCAGGGAAGTTAATGAGATGATTCAAAGGTAGCTGGGAACAGATCTGTTCCCCCTATTTCCTGTACTCAGGAGACGATGCCGTTCTGCTTTTTGAAATCTGACTTTTAATTCTGAGTTGAAGAACCAAGCTAAAGGTTTCTATGAAAGACTGGTTCCAGTAAATGTGTACCTGTGACCAAATGTGTACCTTTGACATTGTGAAGCTGCTCATTGAACAGCTTCCTGAGGACACTTGTTAATATGTAGCAGTCTTCTGATTGGCATCTGTTTTCTAGATTTTGATAACTATTAATATTAACTAATGTTACAAAACATAGACACAATTCTAATTGTGATGATAGATTAAAAAAAACTGTCAAAATGATGTAAGTAAATGGAAACTTTCTACCTACAATTTTCCATTAGAATGTAAGCTCTGTGAGAACAGGAATTCTGCTGTTTATGGCTAGGTTCCCAGCATGCAGAATTCTTTTTAAAAAAAATTCATTTTATTGTAAAGATCCTATACAGAGGGGTTATAGTTACATGAGTAAGGCAATAGATACATTTCTTGTCAAACATTGTTACCCACTCCTTTGTTTTTCTCCCACTATCCCTTCCCTCCCCCACAGAATTCTTAAGAAGTATATTTGAAAGCCGGGCTCCGGTGGCTCACGCCTATAATCCTAGCTACTCAGGAGGCTGAGATCTGAGAATTGCGGTTCAAAGCCAGCCCGGGCAGGAAAGTTCCTGAGACTCTTATCTCCAATAAACTGCTAGAAAACCGGAAGTGGTGCTGTGGCTCAATTGGAAGAGCGCTGGCCTTTAGCTGTAGAGCACAAGGAGAGTGCCCAAGCCCGGAGTTCAAGCCCCACAACTGGTAAAAAAAAAAAAAAAAAGAAGTATATTGGAAGGCTAAGAATGTGGCTTAGTGGTAGAGTGCTTGTCAAGCATGCATGAGGTCCTAGGTTCAAGTCCTTGGTACCACATAAACAAAAATAAATAAATAAAAATTTAAAGAAATACATTGGATATTTTCAATAAATACATTTTTGTCTATCAATATTTGTCAAATTACCCTCCCCCACAGTATAATCCCTGCTTTCACTATATTTGATGTCAGTATAACTTGTGGAGGAGATGGGGAAAAACAAGTCGTTTAAGGATACAGGTGGACCTGTTGCAACAATGAGAAATACAAGTTGTCATGTCCAAAACGAGCTTTACAATGTCGGTGCGGGGGGGAGGGGGGGAGGAGAAGGATTGGGATTGGGGGGGGGAAGCTGGGAAGAGATGAGAAGGGTAAACAAAGGAGGAGGCTGCAATGCTTGGTAAGAAATGTACACATTATCCTGCCCATGTAATTGTAACCCCTCTGTACAGTATGTTCACAAATAAAATTAAATTAAATTAAAAAAATATTTGTCAAATTAATGACTGACAGATAGATAGATAGATAGATAGGTACTGATCTTCTGGGAAAATGGCTTTCTACAAAGTACTTTTGTTAATTATACAATGTGGCCTCTTAAAAATACAGAAAATTAAGAAAAGGAGAAAGGAAAAAAATCCTTTCTGTTCTCTCAGATTTAACGCTTCTATCTTTGTTTTGTTACACTGTTGTCATTTTCTGCATACATAACATTTGGAATGCAATGTTAACCATGTCTGTATGTAATTTTATCTTCCTTATAAAGTTAGTCTTGCATAAGCATATTTCATGTGTTCCCAAGCTCTTTGTAAACATTATTTTTAATGATTGTACAATGAATTAAATAGAGCAGCGTTATTTACTTCATTCCTGGAGTAGTAGCCATTCTTTGCGATGATAAACAATGCCACTGTAAATACCTTTGTGCATTTAGTGATTTTTTTCCAAAGAAAAAAATTTCAAAGAAAATCCTGTCCAGGTGGTCAGTCACCCTGGACAGTGTTGGTTTTGTTACAAGAACAAACAACCCTCCAATCTCTGTGTTTATGACACAACAATGATTCATTTGTTGCTCATGCCATGGTGCAATTGTAAAAAAAATGGAATGAAATAATAAAAATTCAGTTTCTTCAATATGAGCCAACAACTATTTATTGAGTTCTTGTGATTATAAGGCCAACTCTGAGCCCTGAAGGTAGTTGAAAAGACTTGTTTGATGAGTCACAGATCAGTGAGAACTGGGAACTCCATTTTATAACAAGCTGTTACCACAGCAGACGCAAAGAAGTCAATAAAGGCAAAAGATCATTTCTCAATCTAGTCATTGGAATGGCACATCTGTATTGTTTTAGATGGAGCTCTCTTCTTCTGTCTACTTCTTTAAAACCTCCCTTTGTACATGAAGGCCAGAGCTTTGGCTCTAGCAGACCCAGTGCCAAGCAATAGGATCACCAGGCTTGATTTTGCAATTCCCTCATGCTTCTCCTGACCTCAGTGCTATTATGAAATTTTCCAAACAAACCCATTTCAGTGCTTGCTTCAGCAGCACATATACTAAAATTGGACCAATACAGAGAAGACTCGCACAGCCCTGTACACAGGTGACACACAATTCATAAAGCATTCTAAGTTTATAAAAGAAAAAAAAAACAACGCACTTTGAGTCACTAAAACAGATATTTAAGAATAATCTTTTGGGCTGGGAAGGTGGCTCAATGATAGAGCGCATGCCTTGCATGCATGAGGCCCTGGGCTCGATTTCTCAGCACCACATAAGCAGAAAAAAAAGCTGGAAGTGGTGCGGTGGTTCAAGTGGGAGAGCGCTAGCCTTGAGCTGAAGAGCTGAGGGACAACGCCCAGGCCCAGAGTTCAAGACCCACGACCAATAATAATATAATAATAATACTCTTTTTAAAAGTTATATTTTTTATTATCTTTAAGGAGTTGTACAAAGGGGGACCATTCAACAAATCAGTTTTTAAGTACAATGTATTTAGGCCCTCTCTTTCATCATTCTCCCACACCCCTCTCAGTCCAAACCCTCCCCTCAATTTTCCTAGGTTCATTGGATATACATTGAATTGTATGAATGCATTCTCCTCCCTTATTTTTTTTCTTTTTGGTGCTGGTCTTACGATGAACTCAGGGCCTGGGTGCTATTCTGAGCCAGCACTCTATCACTTGAGCCACAACTCTACTTTTGCCTTATTGTTAGTTAATTGGAGATAATAAGAGTCTTTATTGAGCTTATTTGCCCACTTATTGAGTTGTTGATTCTTTTTTTTTTTTTTGTCAGTAGTGGCCCTGAACTCTGGGCCTGGGCGCTGTCCCTCAGCTCTTCAGCTCAAGGCGAGCGCTCTACTGCTTGAGCCATGGTGCCATTTCTAGCTATTTCTGCTTATGTGGTGCTGAGGGATCAAACCCAGAACTTCATGCATGCAAGGCAAGCACTGCACCATTGAGCTACCTTCCCAGCCCAAGTTGTTGATTCTTTAAAGGTTTAGTTTCTTGAGCTCTGTGAATGTTCTGGATATTAGGCCACTGTCTGACCTATAGCTGGTAAAGATTTCTGCTGTTCTGTAGGCTGTCTTTTTAGCTTGCTAACTATGTCTTTTGCCACGCAGAAACTATTTAGTTTAATGCAATGCCATTTGTCAATTCTCTCTTTGATTTTCTGAGCCTCTGAAACTTTACTCAGAAAGTTCTTACCTGTGCCAAGAAGTTCTTCATCCTAGGGACGCATACATCAATAAATGTAATACAACACACGGACAAAACCAAAGACAAAATCACATGATCAACTTAATAGATGCAGAAAAAGCCTTCAACGAAATCCAACCAATTTTATGATGAAAGCTCTGAAGAAGCTAGGAATAGAACCTTCCTCAACATAACAAAGACTTTATGACAAACAGCCAAAATCACACTAAATGCTAAAAAACTAAAACCATTTTCTCTTAAATCAGGAGCAAGACAAGAATGTCTACTTTCTCCACTCCTTTTCAATACAGCACTAAAATTCCTAGACAGAGCACTGAGGCAAGAGAAAGACATAAAGAGGATCCAAATAGGGAAAGAAGAAGGAAAGCTATCCCTATTAACATCTTATATCTAAAGGACCCTAGAGATTCGACCTTCAAGCTAATAGTCTCAAAAAAAAAAAAAAAAAACCCCACCTAAAAATCAACCAAACAAGGAAGTGAAGGACATCTACATTGAAAAGTACAAAATTTTGAAGAAGAAAATCAAAGAAGATATTAGGAAATAGAAAGACCTCCCATATTTCTGGATTGCCTAAGGCAATCTACAAATTCAGTGTAATACCAATGTCATTTGCTAGGTGAAACAATACAAAAATTTATATAGAAACACAAAAGGCCCTGAATTGAAAAGGTGATCCTGTAAAACAGTAGTGCTAGAGGTATAACAATTCCAGACCTCAAACTACCATAGAGCTCTCATAATGAGAACAGTGTAATACTGTCATAAAAATAGGCTTGAAAACCATGGAGCAGAATAGAAGATCCAGAAATAAACCCACAGTCCTACAGCCATGTAATATTTGGTGACAGTAAAAACATAGGATAGAAAAAAAAACAAAACCAGACCCAAAACCCTCTTTACTAAATGGTGGTGTGAAAACTGGACATCTACATGCAGTAAAAGAAACTAGATCACTTCTTAAATGGGTAAAGACTTCAGTGTAAGACCTGAAACACTCAAACTACTCCAGAAAAGAATAGAAGAATCATTAGAACTACTTGGCACAGATAGGAAGAATACTCTTTAGTTCAGTAACCCTAGTGCTAGGAATTTTCCTGAGGAAATATTAAAGAAAACAAATCTGTTGACATTCCTATCTCCAATTATCCACAAAAAAGCAGAAAGTAGTGCTATTCAAGTGGCAAAGCACTAACTTTGAGTGGAAAAGCTAAGGGAGAACACTGAGATCCTGAGCTCAGGCCCCAGTAGCAGCACACACAAAAAAGAAAATCCATAGGGTATTTGTAATAGGAAATGATGGTGGAGAAATTAATAACATATTTACTAGGCTGAATATCATCACTCTGTAAGCATTGATAGTATGAAATTTATACTGAAATAAAAGTTCTTGATGATTAGTGGTAAAAAGGAAAATAAAATTCCAACTATGTTGTACAATTTTGTTTAAAGCATTACACATTTACAACAAGATGCCTAGGAAAGTGGCCAGTGAAATGGAAATTCTGAATTATTTTATTTCAGTTATTTTAAATATTTTCAACAAATGACACTAAAAATTACAATTAGCTCCATTCCTAGGAAGAGCTTTATGTCCAATTAATGTTTATAAAAGTTCAAAGTAAAGGTCTGACACAGTGCCTTACATTTGTTCCAACTACTTGGGAGACAAAGATCAGGTGGATTGTGGCTTAAAGCCAACCTTGCCAAAAAAGTTAGCAAGGCCCCATCTTAACGATTAAACTGAGTGTGTTAACATATGGCTACCATTCCAACTATGCAGAAGCGTAAGTAGAAGTAATGAAGTCCAGACTAGTCAGGACACACACACGAGGCCCTATCTTAAAACTAACCAAAGCACAAAAGTTACCTACCTACCTAGCAAGCACAGGTACTGGCAGTTACTTTGTTAGTTTTCTGGAAAACATTCTTTTGACAAATTCATAATCCTCATAACACACAAACTAAAAGATTTAGATACAAATGTAAAAAAAAATAGCGCTGTTTAGAGAAACAGTCACCCACTACTATCTGTTGTTTTAATAACTTAATAACTTAAGACTGAGATGTGCTTCTGTATGAAAAATGTAGATCTGACTGATAGAAGACTCGCCCTTCCCTCCCTCCCTTCCTTCCTTCTTTCCTTTTTTTTTTTTCCCCCAGTACTAAGGATTGAACTCAGAACCTGGGCATTGTCCCAGCTTCTATAGCTTTTTTAAAATCAAGGCTAGAACTCTACCACTTGAGCCACAGCTTCAATTTTGGTGATTAATTGAATGGATTTTCTCACCCACTTTGGCTTCAAACTATGATCCTCAGATCTCAGCATCCTGAGTAGCTATGATTACAGGCGTGAGACACCAGTGCCCAGAAGAAGACACTTTTCAAAACCAAACATACCTAGACTTTTCTTCCCTGTGCTTGGGACTGGGCCCACAGTAGAAACTCAATTATCCATGGATGGAATGAGAAGGAGGGAGAGCTGTGCCCCTGGGGTTCCCAGGGAACCCAGTGTGAGAGGCTGGTTGGCCATGAAGGTCTCCCAGGAACCTCGAGAGAGCAGTCTTTCTGCTGTTCTAGCTCCACAGGATCTTTAGGGACTGTGAGAAAAACAGCCCCATCATGGGTAGATTGATCATTCAATTTTACTCTCATCAACAAAGATGGCAGGTAATGGCTGCTAAAATCCACGTCGGCACTGCCTACTGGACTCCTGCATCCTGATTCTTGTCAAGATGTGACATTCTTTACTGGATGTTCTCTTGGGGCTCTGGTGTGAAGAGAAAATGGATATTGGAAGCAATGTTTATCCTGGAATCAAGAATTCTTGTGACACATTATTGTACTTTTGTCATTCAAAGCCTTAGCACATCCCCAAAGCCAGATAGCCTCTTTATTTTAGTAGCTTGCACTAGCCCCTTTCATTTTGTTGTTATTAGCTTTGGTGTCTGGGGTTTTGCTGGGAGCAGATACTGGTTGGCCTGGGTAAACTTGGTGACACACACAGCACATACACAGCAAGAGCCATCTCAGGCGGAAAAATGGCATCCCCCTCATCAACATGCCACAATGTCACCTTGCCATAATCCTGCAGATAGCCTGGTGTCTAAGACAGTGACATCTGTGTTGGCAGTGTTGCCTGAGCAGTGAAGAACCAGGGTAGGCTTACCAACACTAGGAAGTTTATATGGAAATAAAGACCACAACCAGTCATGGTGTAATTAGCATATTCATGGAGTAATAACACTTGACTGTTAGACAGGCACTTGTGTTGAGCAATAACTTGCCCGTGATTGCTCAGGCGGAGCTGGCAAGGGAAGGCACTGGATCAGGAGCCTGGCCAGCTTGGGTGGCCATCTGGGCTCCTGGGGCCCTGCCTCTGTGTCATCATTTGCCCTAGTTTCTTGCAAATTTAGCAGGGTATGTCTGTCCCTTGGGTCATTGGGAAAGTTCAATTCCCTTTGCAAACCACTTTGAAATCCTCTGTAGAAATGAGAGTAATTGTTAAATATGAGTAATGCGTTAGAACTTGAGTCATTTCTTTGGGATAACTAGCAGATCATTTCTTCTGTTTTTGTTTCTGTTTTGCAAGAAATTCCCAGAATGCTAACATCTGCAGAGTGCCCACCTCACCTGCGTTCTCAGCCTTCAGGTGGTGTGCCAACAAAGAAGCTTTGATTTTTTGTCAGGCCCAAACTCCCTCACAAACCCTGGAACTTAAATTATCTGGTGCTTTCTTTTGCCAAAGATTGAGAAGATGCAAAGATTTCAGAAAACTGTGGGAAATGAATCCTCTACTGCCAAGATTCTGGGGGTGAACAACTCTTTCCAAGTGGTTTTCGATTGTCGGTTGTAATAGATGATTGATTTCCCCATTGCATGACCTTAAAGGGATTAAAGTGATGCCACCTTCC